TCATACAGGTAGTTGTTGAAGAAGTCAACCTCGTTGCTGGACCCGATGTAGAAGCTGCCACCGTAGATCCAGACCATGACAGGCGAGTCCTGGGAGACTGAGGTGGATAGCAGGACGGTGACCTAGGTGCCTGCCCTGGTCTCCCGGGCCAGTTCCCTGTCTATGCCCCGTGCAGGAAGAACCCTGCCCAAGCAGAGGACCAGTGGCAGAACTGCTCTGCCCACCTCTGCAGCCCACACACCACCCAGGGCAAGGCCCAGAGTTTCCCACTGGCTGGGCCCAGACCTTGCTTGCTGCCCTGGGGGACCCAGATGTTGAGGTAGAGGCAGTCTTCGTCCCCATAAGTGCTGTCTGGGTTGAGAGTGATCTGGAGGCATGTCTCCTTGAAGTCTGTGGCCTTCAGGGTCCCTGAGGGAGGCAGGAACAGTTGGCAGGCATCATCAAAAGTTGTCCTCACCACCCAGCCAGGGCCACACCGCAGCCCTGTGCTCACCTTGCCAGCCGGGGTGACGCTGGGGGTTCTCCAGGGTCTTGGCGGTGGCAAAGGGGATGCCCTTGAAGATGTCCACAGAGTCATTGCCCAAGAAGCTGAGCTTCTTGTTGACCCCCTCCACGAATCCTCCTTCTGTGTACACGGCGCCCAGCTGTGGGTGAGACACGACTGGGTCAGGGGACTGTGACCGGGCAGCCCGGATCCTGAGTGCTGACCCAGGCAGGTTCCAGGGTGCCTGGGGCCTCCCAAAGGCAGCTTCAGAGGAGACCACAAGGTGGACCCAGCAGCTTCTCAAGGGTGGGGAGGGGCTGGCTTCCTGGACCCCTGCCCCACGACCCGCTTCCTGGTCACTACATCAACCCTAGTGCCTCCCTTCCTAGTGCTAGGGGAAGCTGGACTGACCCAAGTCCCCACTTAGCAAGGTGGACGCCTGTGTTCCCCCTGTGGCTGGGGACCACATGGGTGCCCTGTGGGGGCCTGGGTCCACGCCCCCTCCCTGTCCACAAGACAGCTGGCATTCTGTCACTTGTGCATTCTGTCACTGCTTCCTGGCAGCTGAATGGCAGGTGATGCATATGCCCTGGGAGAGGTGCTACGGCCTCATGACCCCAACCCGGAGGGGAGCCCTGCAACAGAGGGTGGGGTTCGCTCCCAGTGAGGGGTGCATGGAAGGGAGGCTGCAGCAGGAACCAGACCCCGGCCTGGGCTCGACCTTCCAGTTTGGGAGGGGAAGTGACTGCTCTGTGCCGTTGGGCTGCTCTTCTGTGCGTGGCGTCTGCTCTCTTCTGTAAAGTGGGGGTCAGCTGACACCACGGGGGCAATGGATGGGCTCTGCGGGTGTGGCAAGTAAGATCTCCAGAGGACCTGGGTCCTCTGCCGGACCTCACGTGCCTGACAGGAGACAGGCACGGCCTGGCCTGGGCAACGATGGGCTCGCTGCTGGGGTTCGCTCAGCCCGCTCCTCTGCCGTACTGTCCTCCCTCCCCAGGTCCTGTCCCACAGTTTCCAGAACTGCTTCAACAGCACAAGTGAACCTGGCCTCAGCCCCAGATCCTCCGCAGGGCTCCTCTTACCTTTGCAGCCCTGACCAGCGCCCAGCAGCAGGCCAGGCCCACGACGGCCAGCCCCAGGTGCCCCATCCTGAGCATCTGGCTCTGCTGGCCTTCCTTGTACCTCGGGTACTTATGGAGCCAGGGCCAAGGTCGCGGCCACGAACGTGCACGAGCTCAGAGTCAAAACGCACGGGCAGGAGCAGGTGCACCTTTCCAGAGCGGGAGCTCATGGTGCCCACCATGCACCTGGGCAGGTTACTGCCTGTCAGGAGCATCTGAAGCTGGAAATCGATCATGAGATCATGTGTGGGAGGACAGAGCAAGGTTTCCATGCCTAAAGCGGTCAAGCTGCCTCAGTCTTGAGAAAGACTTCCTGTCTGGAGAATTTCGCCTGTTAGTCACTGGGCAACCTTGTGTCCTCATGCTGACTTTGCAAAGGTATGAATAAATGCCCCGACTGTTATTCTTTGGGTCCTTTGCCAGTCAGGCAAACAGACCACTGCCTGACCCAGCTCTTGTCTTGTCTACCTTGTCCTCATTCCTGCCTCTATTTCTCCCCAGGGTACACCGAGACCCCAACAAGTCCCTACATTTGGCTCCTGAACAGGGGCCTGGTAATAGGCCAGTGGGCAACGGAAGCTCTTCTGAGGACAGTGCAGCCGGGGAGAGAAGCGAATTGCTTCGAGCCCGTACTCAGCACAGGCCTGCGTTGGTCCTGGCACACCAGGTAAGCACACGGGCGTGCGGGCCCATGAGGGCCAGAAATGGCTCACTAGTGCCAAAGAGATAAATCAGCTTTTTAAAAAAGCCCCTCCCCAAACTAGATAAAATTACTGGTAGTTAAAGATGGCACAAATAGTCTCAATTTCTGGATTCTGGTTAAACACGGTTTTACAGTTACAGAAGATTTGACTCAAGGTGCTCCTTGAAAATCAAGTCCCCAACCTAAACGGGACAAGGAGGGTCAAACAAAGGTACCGGAGAGAGAGCTTAAACCCCCAACAGAAAAAAACAGAAACAGGAAAAAAAAAAAAAAATTAAGCTTAAACAGGAAAAAAAAAATTACTTTAAGTTGCGAATGGCTCGTTCCAAGCGGCCCAGTGGAGCCAGCGGGGCGGGGGGCGGGCGACAGGCGGGCTCAGGGAGGGTACAGTGCCCCTGCTCTACCCGAGCCAGCTGGGACTCTCCGGCTGCCTGCACGTCCCACACGCGGTCCAGCCACGGAGGCTAGCACGCACCGTCAAGTACGGTCCTGGGTGCCTGGAGATAAGAGGGTCACGACTGTGGCACATCGCGGCCTCAGGCTTCCTTGTGCACACTGCTGGTACCAAAAATTCGCTTACGTCACAATAGTGTCTATGAGGGCTGACGAGATGGCTCAGCCGAGCAAGCACCTAGTTAGGCAAGCGCAGGAACTGGGGTTCGATCCTCAGCACCACACGCCACACGCCACACCGGGTCTGCTGAGCTGGGGGACTGAGTCCGGGAGTAGTGGTGCATGCCTGTAATCCCAGTGCTGGGGAGGCTAAAAGCGGAAGGATCACTCCAAGCTATGTAGTGGGACCCTGAGCAACATATATACATTAAACAAAAATTTTTAAAAAGAAAAAAACAGTGTCTATGTTTAGAATTCTGGGCAAACCCAAAACACCCAGCAGTCAGAGACAAAGCGACAGCCGGCACACATAGATTTCGTGGCTCAGCAGCCGTGGCTACAGGGCCATAGCCCCACGTTGCTTGAGGAGTGGGGCTGTGGATGAGGAGCCCACTGCCAGCACTAACAGCTCACCCAGCCCTCAGGCGCTAGAGTAAGAGTGGCAACCAGAGGCAGGGCCCCAGTGGGGAGAGATCTCCAGGTTTGCTCAAGGCCTATCACACAGGAAAAATCAGGATTATAGTTCAGTCTACTCAAAACACGGTTTAAATCACTCCAGACACTCAAGTTGTTCAATTGGTCATTCCTTGATAAAAACTTTTAAATTATAAATAATAAAAAGGATATAGTGGCTGGTGAGATGGCTCAGTGGTCTAAAGCACCTACTTAGAACAAGCTCAGCAAAGCGCAGGGACCGCGGTTCAATCCCCCAGCACCACATGCCAGCCAGCCCGCCCCCTGGTGGGCTGAGCTGGCCACACACACACACACACACACACACACACACACACACATAAATAAAATTTAAAAAAAAAAAGGATATAGTGAGTTAAAGATAAAAATTAATTATTTTTTAAAAATGAGGCGCTTTCAAATTCAAGTGCAGATTGGAGGGCAGCTGCAGGTCTGCCAGAACCAAGGTGCTGGACTCCTGACCTAGAGCCTCACCAGAAAACAAAAAACAGAGAGATTCTCTGGATTGCAAGCGACACTAAAAGAGAACCTTTTCTATTTCCCCGTAAGGTGACTAATTTAAAAGGATGTTTCCATCCTAAAGATAAAAAGTTTGCCTTTAGAGAAAAATTCACATTTTCTAAGATTTACAGTGGGGATATTTAAAAACATTGCTTAAAGTTCTTTTGATTCCTAATAAGCTTACTTGTCTGTTTTATAGTCCTAAATTATTATTTTTTAAATCTTTTTTGTATTTTTTTAATTTTTTAATAGATTGCACATTGAAAATGAATTATTTACAAACATAACTGAATATAACAATAAAAACTGTTCAAAATAAAAATGAAGAAAGAATTTACAGATCAGTCATAATAGTTCACTGTGTCAAAACCAAGAAACTTATATTCATATAATTAGAATTCTCAAAGTAGAAAGGAGTAGGCAATAACTATTGAAAAATTTAAAATTTCTGAATTTAGTTCAACTTATAATACCACATTTCTAAGAAAAATGAACCTTTTGCAAAGACATTTAAAGTGTGTAAAAAACTAGATTAATTAAAGGACTGAAAGAAAAGATCTGTCCTCTTTGAATTTTATACTTAGCAAACATACCTTTGAAAACGAAAAGTAAGATTTTCTAGTTATACACACTTGAAATATTTTAATACCTCCAGAAGCAGCATATAGGAAATAACAAAGAGCATAATTCAAAAGGCAAGAGAAGTTGCAGTATGCTCCTGGATGAACAATAAAGAGCTCTCAATATGATACTTATGCAGGACTATATAAAACATATATTAGATGGACCCTTATTTAAAGGTCATTCCAGATTTCTATGAAACAGTACCAATCTTATGTTGGGTTATACACGTATTACAGTCCTAAATTAAATTGGTATAAAAAAGCTTTGATATTTTACAAGCAAATGTAGAGATATGGAGTGTAATCTGCGAGCAGTAAAATTTAAACAGGCGCTTGAGTTGCACCCTATTTCAATGGTGGCAGGCCTAGCGGTGGCCTCCAAAAGGATACAGTGATGACAACTTTTTCATATGTGGGTCAACTTATGTACCAAAGATGTACTGTGCTCCAAACTGTTCAGCTCAACCTTTCATGATTTTCAGACTTTATTTGGTAATATTACCTTCTTCCAGATTTGGGGCTAATTTCTCTGGCGTTCTTATCATTACCCTTCAGGTAAGTTAGATTGATTTGCTTGTTTCTACAGATGGGTTATATAAGGAAGTTATGCAATGGCTTCCTCTTTCAAAATAAAGACCACAAAATAGAGGTCACTGTACCACTAAAATTCGATTGCAAAGGGCCAGCGAGATAGCTCAGTGGACTAAGCACCTGCTTAGGCAAGCACAGGCACTGGGGTTCGATCTCTGGTGCTGCACGCTGCCCTGGCCCTGCCTCCTGGGCACGTTAAGCCAGCCACCGAGTCCCAGCGTGGTGGTGCACACCTGTGATCCCAGCACTGGGGAGGCTGTAAACAGGAGGATCACTAAGAATCTGAGCTGCGTAGTGAGACCCTGCACCAAATTAAAAAAAAAAAATCAATCACAAAAAGAAGACTCAATCCCTCCCATTTACCTACATACTAGTAAATTTTTACACTTACATACAAACATATACTATTAAATTTTTAAATTTTTAAAAAAGATGGAAGTACAGCAACAGAATAATTAAATCAGGTAAAGAAAAAAAGTTAATCTGGAGTAGAGAGTATGCTTCTGCTTTTACAGAGGATACTGAGCAACATATTTTGTACCACAGTGTGCTGCTAGGCTGTGTCATAAAGCCAGATCTGGAAAAATAGTAAACAACGAGGCTAGATTTCATCCTGGGTGGACCGTATTGAAAGAGCTGACAAAAGTGAAACCTAAGGTCTAAGTAGGTGATAGAGTATACAAAGATAACTGAGCTAAGAATTACTAATATTCATAAGATCAAATAAAGTACAAAATATGTATATTACAAGATTTTATTCTTTGAAAATTTTTCTGAAAAGAGATCTCTGCTAATTGACAACAAAATCTGACTAATTTGCAATATTTCTAAAAATTGTAATAGAGCGCTTGCCTGGCAAGCACAAGGTCCTGAGTTCTATCGCTGGTACCACCAAAAAAAAAGATTGTAATAGACTTACTATAGTTCAATTTGGCCAAAAATATATTTGAGTGCACTCTGATTTTATAAAGGCATTTGTGTGTTCTGTGTAATTGTTTATGTGTTTGTATGTCATTCCATAAACAGCTGTTCCTCTTTTTATTCCAGCTCAAAATTTTTCATTTTATAATTTGTTCATTTTTAGTTTTTTAAAATGTATTTAGTACAGAGTCTCCAGAGTCTCACTACGTAGACTGGACTCACAGTGACCCTCCTGTTTTCAGCCTGCCAAGCCCTGCCATATCACAATACAATTTATGTTATGTACTTAAAACTATGGTTTCTCCTGAGTTACCTGTTGGTCTAAGTGATATCATAATTAGTCTACTCACAGTTGATTAAAAAAAATTAAGTTAATTAAAGCACCTGCTTAGGCAAGCTCAGGGCCTGGGGTTTGATCCCGGCCCCCACAGGCCACGCTGGCCACACTCCTGGGTCACTGAGCAGGCCAGTGAGACTGGGCATGGAGGCACACACCTATAATCTCACCACTGGAGAGGCTAAAAGTGAGGATCACTATGAGTCTGAGCCACACAGTGGGACCCCGTACCAAATACATTTTTAAAAATTAAGTTTATTAAACAAAAATCCCT